TGAGTAAAGGCACTTGCTGCCAAGCCTGACAACCTGAGTTCAGTCCCTAGGACTCACATGGTGGAAGGAGAGAACCAACTCCCAAAAGTTCTCTGACAACCACACCTGTGCCCTGGTACACACATGCATATACACATACAAAACATATATAAAAGAATTAATCTGAAAATTTTCCCTTTTTTTCTTCTATTTAAATCTACACCACATCATTCTTTTGTGATGTCATTTAGTGTTTAAATTATATTGCTATACATAAAATGTAATTTAAAAAATACCATTCTCATATTCAATAAAAGTGTAATAGTGTTATATCAGTGGGGTTGAGTCAGGACCAATAAATTCTCCAAGAAATAGCTGAACATAGGGACTAATTTGAAACAAAGCCAAAGATGGTGTTTTGAAGAGTGTGGATCCATGAGCTCACCAGATTCTTAGAACATTTTCTTGCAAGGACAGTACCTGGTCAATGTTGGTGACTGCAATAGAAGATGGCACTAAGGGCCCTTTGCATGATAGGCACATCACTAGCCCAGCTCTTTTAATTTCGAGACAGGGACTCTGTAAATTTCCCCGATTGCTCTTGAAATTGTGATCTTCTTGCCTTAGTCTTCCAAGTAACTGCAATTATTGGTAAGTGCCAGTATGCCTGGCCAATATTTGTGACTGATCTGTATATTTTGAATACATCATTTCACTAAAACTCATTTCTAACCTGATTTATGGTAATTAATAAAGCTGCTTGTGTTAATTGGGCATTTTATTAGCTAATTTTGACATTTGTACTTCTGACAGAAATTTGCTAAACACTCCTGGAATGTATTTTCAACCTCACTTTTTATTTTATTGTTATAGTGTGCGTATAATGGAGGCATGTATGTGCCACGGCACATGAGGCCAGAGGACAATTTTGTCTAGTTGGTTCTTTCCTTCCACCCTTACATGGGTTCCAGGGATCAAACTCTGGTCTTCAGGCTTGTGTGGCAAGTACCCTTACCGACTGAGCCATCTTGCCAGTCCAAATGTGTATGTTTAAGTTAGGTAACTGAACACTCCTAAGGGATATATTGATGTACATATTGTCCATTTTCAATAACACAAAACTGACACCATATGTGCAATTAACTTTTTCTTTTTGGTCTTTTTGAGACAGAGTCTCCCTGTAGTCCCAGCTGACCTGGAACTCACTATGTAGAC